GTCAATACACAGAAGGTTATTTGAACTGATTTTGTTAAAATTAGTGGACATAATGTCTAATTTATTCAATCAAATATGCCTAAAAGAGAATTTGCTGCCTAAATACACAAATTGTGTATATATATATATATATATATATATATATGTGTGTGTGTGTGTGTGTGTGTGTGTGTGCAGATATGTAGAAAAACAGGAAAGAATGCGTTAGATAAATAATCCGGAGTTCTTTAGTATTTTTGTTTTTATTTTTAAAAATACAGATGTAGAGCTTAAATTATAATTATTTTAAAAAAAATATATGATTCCTTCGCTACATAAGAATTCTCAGGTTTCAAAAACAAGAGCCAAAAACCTCAATATAATTATTAAAATTAAATTGAGTTAAAGTATCAAGCCCTGTTTCCTTCTCAAGCGAAAATTTAGCTTGAGAATGAAACAGGACTTGATACTTTGATTCAATTTAATTTTAATAATTATATTGAGGTTTTTGGCTCTCATTTTTGAAACATGAGAACTCTTATGTAGTGAAGGAATCATATTTAAAAAAAAAAAAATATATATATATATATATATATATATATATATATATATATATATATATATATAATGTCTTCACTAAGACATGTTTCATTAAATAATATAGGCATGTGTCTATTTATTTTTATAATGATTCTTTCCAGTTCTCTAATCAGTTTCTTGATGTTAAGATGAAATTCATCAAGGAAGGTGCCATAGTTTTTGTTAACCCAAGTACTTTTGATTATTTCCAAGATTATCTTCATGGATGAATTAAAGAGACAAACTTATTGTAACTGTGATAAAATCTTCATTCCATTGTGTTAGTGATTTTTAGAAATGTGTGAACACGCTCTGTAATTATTTGAAATTTTAAACTTATCCATTGTAACTATGGGATGTTTTTGCAAAACAAGCGTCCCAACAAAAGGGAGTTAACTGAAAATTGGTAGAAATGTAAAATAGCATTAAATTTTATATTGCAAACAATAATATTTTTTTTTTTTTTTTTTTTTTTTTTGGACTTGCCCATGTAATTTTTTGCTGATATCTTAAGCATTTTTAAATTTTGTAAATGATGTACAAATTCTTAAAAGATAGACATATTTTTAATAACTGAATAAAGCTTGTACCTTATTGCTGTGTTCTTAGTCATCATTGTCATTGTTAAGAGCTGATTTTCTTTTTCTTTTTTTTTTAAATGGTAAAGGCTTCAAGGCTTTTCATATCTTATTAATTTTCAAATAAAAAGAGGTTTTTATTTTGTTTGAAACAGATTATTAGAATGCAGTCTAATAACTTGTCTGTTATAATTTGAATTTGTTTAATTTGTTTTACCAAATCTTAATTTACATGTATTTTTAAAGTCTTTCCTCACAATCCCTACAAAATGTCTTAACAGATTGGAGATTTTTGTCAGAGACTTAAAACCAAAGGACATTGTTCATAAAAATGGTGTTCAAATCATGACACTGACGCCACTCAGGAGCCAAATGCAAATAGGTTAGCCAAGCCTACTTGAAATTTGTGCAAGGTGCCTGACTGACACGGGAGAGAGTGAGAAGTGACAAAAACAGTTAATAATTTTTTTTTTTTTTTTTTTAATGATAAAGGCTTAGATTATTTTTAGATGTTTGTTGCCCAGGTTAACCAGAATTTGTTTGTGGAGAAGTCTGGAAACCTACAGTGAATGCTGTGTTTATCACATTTGCTTAAATTTGCTGCCACATCTTGTCTGGGGCTTCTGATATGTATTTAGAGATTCTTGGTAAAATCCAAGGAAGAACGTACAGTTCTGACCTGGCATCTCGGATTCAGTCACTTTCTCACCAATGGAACATAGCTTCCCAATGCCTTTTCTATAAATGTTTTCAGGATAGTTGTTCAGGTGAGAAAGAGAAAAGCTCATACCTTGACTTTAATGAATTTAAGCATAGTGTTGTTACTGCGAGGAAATTTCCTGCCTAGTTAGTCGTGAACTGAAAAAGGCATGATCACCCAGACGTGCATCACATGGCATTTCACTACTTAGATTGGTAGCTAGCTCTCGTCATTTTACAGTTGAAATTATTTGATCTAACCTAATTTTAAATATTAATTTTTTTTTAAATTTGAAATATTAATTTAAGTTCAATGCTAATAGTTTCTACTCTCACACTTCTCGCTTGCGGAATTTGCTTCTTGTTTTCTTGTCAACTTTGATCTTCAAAAATTTAAATACAATGTTAATTGTTATCCTCTATCTTCTTAATTCCTGTTCTCTCTCTGTTTTCTCTCAAGTATGTTTTTATTTTTCTCATATTCTTTTAGAGACAGTAAACCCTTAATCTTAGTAGTTTTATTACCTTCCTTGGGGGGCAAAATGATTAAAAAAAAAGAAAAACTTTTACTTTCTTGTCAATTATGATCTTTAAAAATTTTAAATGTAATATCAGTTGTCACCTGTCTCTTTGAATCTTGTTCTCTTATTGTCCTGTTAACAAAGTTTTTATGAAACCTGACTGCCATTTGGACTTTAGACTGCATAATCATTGCTTGAATGAAAGCAAGATACTGTGCTGAGCTGGGTTTGAATTGGGCACACCTATCTTACCCATGTACACCTCCTTAAGGCTGAAAACACCACCTGATGTACACTTAAACAGTGATTAACTACAAAACAGATAATGATAGTATGCAAAGGATACACAGGCATATGACACAAATACTATAATATACCAAACTTTGAAACACTATTTAAAAGAAGCGTCTGTTTCTTAGTTACTAAGCTTCCTGAGAAAAGTAGACCTTCTTAAACTCTTGTAGATACAACACACGCACAGAAAAAGAACAAACTCTTTACAAGGTATTAAAAAAAAACATCTGACTGCAATGCAGTCACTGAATAAAATAATAAGGATTAAAAATTACTTGATGTGAAATACCTAATTTGGCATGAAATGACCTGTAAGGTTGATGTGCCAATAAACAATACCTTACCTCTTATTGTCACTCTCTGTAACTGTTTACATCTTAGTGGCTTTATCACCTTGCTTAGGATGTAATGATTAAAGAAAAAAATCAAGGTTTGATTTTAGTAAGGCTTTTGAAAATTGGTGTTTTAAAAATGATGTTACTTTGATTAGGAGTTTGCTTCCAAAAAAGAGCAAAAAAGTTGGTTTTGAGATTTTTCATCTCGAGTGAAATAAACCAAAATTTACCAAAAAACAAAAAATTTTTGGTACTGAAAATCAAAATTAAACTCCTTACCAGTGGTGGGTAAAATAGGCGGGGCTACTGTGGACACTGTTATTTCACTGCTTGTTGAATGACACAGACTGACAAATTGTTGTTTTGCTTTATGGCATATCAACTCTTCATGGGTCATTTAAGGCCAAGACAGACCAACAAGGAGAACATTTTGATTAAAAGATTTAAAATTATTTTTATTATGATGTTCACCCTGTACAAGGCCCAAGAGCAATTTGAGGTAGAGGGTTATAGAGTAAGAGGCAAATTTATGTAGATATGTGGTGAAGATAACAGTTAACCTTAGACTTAATATTGTAGTGATCGGGGAAGCATCCTCCTGGGAGTCAATTGTACTTGAACATTTTCATCCCAAAAACTGCTGCTTTCTAGGAAGATGATGCTCAAGTGGAACTTAGATCTTACCAATAGAATACGAAAGGAATGAGGGTGGTTTACTACAATGTGGCATATTTTAGTTGGGAATATTTAAAAGTAAAGTATTTTACTTTTCCCTATTCATTATATATATGAAAAAAAAAACCCTGATAATTCAGAGATTCTGAATTTTTAAATGAAGACTTATCAGTTTACATTAATTCATTCAGACTGTTATCCTCATCTTGGTTATTCTTAAATTCATTTGTCACCTTCACTTATCATAAATGTTATTTTTGCTCATTCCACCAGATTTACAGATCACGACATCTATCAGAGAGATGAAATTTACATCTTTTATTATTACATTATTCAAAAATTTTAACACATCAGCAGGTAATCAGCAACTGAGCATAAATAGTTATTAATTAAATAAATTAGTAATTAATGTATAATATTATCCAAGCTGGATGCTTTGTTGATACATTCAAAAGGGCATTAAAAGAATCTCTTGCTATATAACCCTCTACCTCGACTGGCTCTTGAGTCTTGTACAAAGTGAACATCATTGTAAAAGAAAATATTCTCTAGGTGCTAAATCAATCTATTCCAATTCTTTTGACTTTGTACTTTACTACATACATAAATCATAATTCAAGTCAATTCCACTTCCGCTTTTGAGTTTGAAAGCCCAACCAGTGCCTTGTTTAATTAAATCTAATACAAAGCTTTTTATTAACAGATCGTGACATTAATCAGAGAGATGAAATTTAAATTTTTATTATTACATTATTCCAAAATTTTAACACATCAGCAGATAGCTATTAATGTCGACAACTGGGCACAAATAGTTATTAATTAAATAAATTATTAATTAAAGTATAATCTTATCCATAACTACATGTATGAGAATGTCATTTTTGATAAAAGTTAAAAAAAAAACCATAATTGCATAAAAAATACATATATTGTTGAAAATTCATTTTTCCATAGTTATTTGTGCTATGTTATAATGCTTATTACCAAAACAATAATAATACTGAATAAATTTTGTTTTTAAACATTAAAGTATATTTAATCATATCTCCCTAATAGCTGTTGTGACCTGTTAATGAGAAGAGACAAATAGTGAATCAAGAAGTACGCAGTGACCTCTTGATAGTTAAAAAAAAAATATTACAGTTCAAAATAATAGATTATTGAACCCATTTTCTTTTTTATTTAATTGGTTAAAATGAACAGAAGTAAGAACCAAATGTGAAAAACAACTGAAGAAGGACACAGCACAGTTGTCAAAATATTGAATATGAAATCACTCAATATGAGAAAAAAAACTGTACACAACTTTGACTAATCTGACCTATTGATTTCTTTTACAGCAATGCAGATCTGTTGGCTGTCAATGCTGATGGAAATATGCCTTACGATATTTGCGAAGATGAGGCTACACTGGACTTTGTGGAGAACGAAATGGCCAAACGAGGTGGGTTTATGTTTCCTGTTTGTCCGTTGCATCTCTTCAATTATAATTTTGTTTATGCCTTGTTGATAACCTTCATAAAGGAATTTGTGTCATTTTGGTGAATAATGATGAGAGAAGATTCAGCAAAATGACTGATTGACTTGAACATGAGTAGACTGGCCTTTCAAGCCTTGGATGGGAACAAATTTAGGAGAAGGCAATGGAAAAGCATGATGTAAAAAGAACTTATGCCAATTTACAGATATTTAACACTGAGGAATGCTAATTCTGAATTTCATTTGAAGGAATTGGAATCTATTTATATTAAGTCCTACCAGCCATCTCTTTTCATAAGTTGAAGTAAAAGATTTCTGGGCTTAAATATAATTAGTCTGTTGTTGTTATCATAGATTTATTATGTAACATTTGGTCTTTAGTGTTTAGTTTAGTCATTGTGCACATTTCTCCACCTAATGAGAGAGGACTGATAAAACTGTTTACCTGTTTTTGTGTTTTTCAATATCAATAATTTATGATGTCATTTTTTGTTACCCTTTTTTGTTGTTTTAACATCCGTTTTTATTGTTGTAATTTAATTTTGTTCATCATCAAAAATTTTAATTAATCTAAAGAAGTTGTAGAGGCTAAAATCTCGTACATCCATGAGGAAAATAACATTTTTGAAAAAAAATAAGCTGAAATTTATATGCTGTAATTATCATATAATCATAATAAAAAAAAATTGGCCAATATTAGTTAATAGAACTGTGAAAACATTGACTTTTCCAATAAGATCTGTTACTGTGTAAGCCCATTTTGTTGTTTGTCGGTGTTTTTTGAGAAAAAGTTGACAAGATAAAAAGTAAGAGACATCTGAGGAAAATAAAAATCAAATATAGATTTGTGCTCCTTGTAAACAAATTCAAAAAGAAGTCTCATCTTCCTACGCAATGTCTGTCTGTTTAACAAGAAAGATATAAACAACAGTTTTTTTTTTTTTTTTTTTTTGATGTCTGTAAAGAAGACAAATTGGGTAATTATTTGTCCTAAATGCATAAGTGAACATTGAGGTCAATGTCCTACAGTGAGAATCTGGTTCATGCTTAAACACAATCTTTAGGCCATATGAAGCATTTAAACATGAAACAAACCGGGTGTTGATCCCAGTGTTCACTTTTATATTTACATATGCTCTATCACTGATATTGAACACTTTAACCCATAAATATAGCATACCATGAAACATATATATATATATATATATATATATATATATATATATATATATATATATGGAAAATAACTGCACTACATTCTCAGTCCATCCTGGGTAAGGTGATAAACTACGTCCAACAGCAAGGCATCTGATCAGGAGGTTTTGAGGAGCATGGAACCACCTCTTAATTGCTGGTATTTCCAGGTCCACCCTGGCCCAGGGTGGTAGCACCTGTTAGAGTCCTAGCTCTGGGAAAATAGTTACCCTCCCCCAAACTGGGGTCAAAACATGATGAAAGAAAAAAAAAGGGATTTTAATACTAGCAATACATTTTTATAAAAATTACCATCAATGAATTTTTGAAAAATATTACCAGCAATAAAAATCTTGTTGACATTAAATAACCCATTGAGGTTGATATGCCATAAAATGAAGAAAACAAAATTTTTAAAAAAAATACATTGTCGGTCATCTTCAATGAAACTTGGATAGGAAAATATGTAATTATATATATATATATATATATATATTACAATGAATCCTTCATACAAAAAGTAAATTAGTAAAGTTGATGAAATAAAATGGTAAATTCACTTCACTAACTAAATTTTAAAACTGTAATAACCCACTAACCATTTGATGAATGTTATGATCCTTGTTTTTAAAAAATTATAAACTGCATTGGGTCTTCCTTAAATATGCAAGTACTTTCGACAGGTTCTTCGGTCATCATCAGTCATGGAAACTATTTTCTGTTTGGTAAAATTCAGGTAGCATCTGAGAAAAAAAAATATAATGCAAATCAAAATATGTTTTTTTGGAGTGTTATTGATAACAGGTACAATGCTTGATGATGACTGGAGAACCTGTCAAAAGCACTTGCAAGATAAGAACAAAGACCTCCTTCCTTCCCCATTTTCTCTGACAAATCCTAATTGTTTTATTACCCCTTAAGCAGAAGAATAATTTTACCATCAGTCCAAGAAGAAAATTTGGGTTGCTATTACACTCAAAAGTCAATGGTTAAGCATTAGAAAACATGAGGAAAATTAATTCCTTTTAATAATATGTGGAAATAACTGCTCTTTGCCTGATGATAGTCATGAGACCAGAAACCCATGTACCAAAATATGGAAATAAGGTATAATATATATTAATTAGTTTAATATATATTTAAAAATATCCATATAACCAAAAACGTTTGGGGTTTCTCTGTTCTCTTTAAAATATTTACTTCTCTCTCATTAGAACAACTATAATCTTCCATATATATATATATATATATATATATATATATATACACACACACACACACACACATATATATATATATATATACATATATATATATATATATATATATATATATATATATATATATATATATATATATATATATATATATATATACACACACATATATATATATATATATATATATATATATATATATATATATATATATATATATATATATATATATATATATATATATGGGAAGGGTTTATATTTGTTCCAATGAGAGAAAAGTGTATATTTTAAAGGAAAAAAAAACCACAAACTTTTTTTTTTATATACTTTATTCTATATATTTTGCTGTATGTGTTTTGGGTCTTGTGACCATCCACATACAGAATGTCCTTGGTTACAGCCGACCTGATGTACGGCATTTCATGTTTATGGTGCCATCTTCCATAATATAATATAATATGCTGTCACGTGGCGCTATTGGAGGAAAATGGTTTTATTTCTTCACCGGCTATATGCCATTTTGGGTTGTGCTACATTCGCTATCTCTCATTTGTATCTTTTTTTTTTTTTTTTGCCCTTCATTATGTCTCCCAAGCCTAAGGCAGACTTGTGGGTGCTTCTGTAGGTTAGTTCCAACCTATGTCGGAAATCAGGTTACGTCATACTGTAAGAAGAGATCTCCGATGTAAGTCGAGGTTCCCCTGTATTATTTAAAGTAATTTATTTTTTGCCCTTCTTATGTTAAATCTTTTAACTATTGTCTTTTGGATGTAGTAGTGGTAGTCATCTGAATCTGTATGGACTGCCTCCCACAATATATATATATATATATATATATATAATGCTGAGGTTAAGTATACTGGTAGTTGACTGTACTTGGATAGACATTAGCCTAATAGATCAATTTCACATAATCTGAGAGAGATTTTACCCAGTTTTTTTTGTTATTTTAAGGAATGTATGTATAGCTGACCACTCGTATTTGAGGATACCCATCTACTAAGGTGGCTAGCCAATCCCTATTGCAGACGCTTGCTCAAGCACATTTGTGTTTGCTCAACACCCACAGAGCCCACCTGTGGTTTATACTGCAACTCTGTTGAGCAGACCTTAGTAACAGCTTCTGGGAAAGAGTGTGTTATCTAGCATGATCAACAATTTGAACAAAGCCAGCATGCTCAAGCTCTCGGGCATGATGAATTGTGACTTTGTACTAACACAGCTATCAACAGCCCCCCAGGTGTTCCATCTACCCAATTTCACTCACAAGGCTTGGGTCAACATGTGGTATGGTTTTCAGGCACTTTCCGAAGGTGGCACACACTGGAATCGACCCTCCCCAGTTTGATAGCATTAGGAAGTCTCCTTACTGACAAATTTACCATGGTGAGATTCAAACCTGGGTCTCATGGTCAGAATGCGAATGTTCTAACCACTTGGCCACATGCTCACACATTTTAAGGAATAATGAAGTGCCATCAGATGCTGTACTTTATCTCACAGTTCAAATAATCTCTCTTGATGGCTTTTGTATCTTAGCAATCCATTTTTTTGCATGGAATGGAGTAAAAATGTTTCAAAATCATAACTGTGATTTTGATTTTTATTTTAATGTCAACATTTTGAATTTCCAGCTTTAAAATCTTTCCTTTTTTTTTCTAGGAATTACTCAGGAACAAATTGATGAAACAAGACTTGTCACAGAACGACATATGCTCGAAGATCTGAAAAATTATCTTGCTGAAGGCAAAAGCCTTGAAGATATCAGAGATGAAAATGGAGTCTCTCCAGTAAGTCTGCCATCATATTACCACTTTCATCTTCCTTGTCTTTCTTTTCTCCCTGTTTCTCTTTTTTTCTTCTTTTTTGCCCTCTATGCTAATATCTTTTTTCTAAAGGTTTAATGGCAAATGGAATGCAAATGCACTGGTATCTTTAGTTTCACTCTATAGGGGTCTAGCATGATTTAAGACATATTTTGTAATCATTCGTGTCTTTGTCAAATAGTTTCAGCCAATTTGCTGTATTTAATTCACATTTGGAAATACAAGGTCTAAGCTTGGATGTGCAGGTGGTGTATTGGATAATGCTTCGGAATTGTTAATCAGAGAGCCGAGTTCCAATTTCACTTGGATTTGTTATATTCACTTACATGCTAATACCATTGCAAGTGGAATGAATCCACCTCTTCTTCTCCCTGCTATAGGTTAATTAGTAAGACTTGTATCATTATCTCCAAAAAATACTTAAAATTTAAAAATATTTTCTTGGGTTGATAAGCCATAAAAAACGAATCAGTGTCAAAGAGCTAGGTGCATTAGAGAGTTGAACTAGATGGTGTTCGCAGAATTGGGCTTAAAAGGATGTCAGTGGCTGTTCTGACATATTAACAGAAAGTCTACCCAGCTGGATTTGGGATATACACACATAAGACAATAGGATGTCAGGAAGGAAAAAGTCAGTCTCTCACACCCTTGAGAGAAGATCAACATTCAAAAGTTCCATAATTAACCATGTATAATATGTCTTCATCCATAATACGCACCCCTAAAATTATGCTGAAAGTGTGGGAAAATGCTTCTACTCATGCATAATACGTAACCCTTGTTTGCTAATCAAACCCCATAAATTGTACCTCTCCAATTTCATTATGGCCAGCATTTCCTATTCTTATTCAAGCTGTAATTTGAGATATTTATCAAAATTTCTGATCAAGATTCTTAAAGGAAACGGATATACCTATATTGTGCCAACTGCAAAGACTCATTAACCTGTTTTTCTTGGATAAAATTTGCATCTACCAGATCTATATGTAGTTTTTCACAAAAAATGGTTTTAAACATAATAATATCCTAATTTAGTTTTATGATAATTCTTATTTTATTTTACATTTGTAAGTATTTTTAGGTACATGTGATTGCATTTGAGATCTTTATGGGGTCGCAATCGCCGAATGTTAGTGTCAAATTGTCGTATGTTGAGTAGTCATTTTGCAACTGAAATTGACCTATGAAACAGCAATTTTTTTAAAAGATTTTTTTGTAGCTGTGCATAATACGCACCCCTAATTTTGCTTATTATTTTTGAGAAAAAAGTGCTTATTGTACATGGGGGATTACAGTAAATCTCCCAAAATTTCCCTAAATTTGTCCTCTTGACTCCAATGCTATTGACCTGTGTTGTATCACTTTTTTAATAACCAAAATAAATCGGAAAACTTCAGGAGAGAAGAACAAATAACTTATCAGCAGTTTTTAATATTCTTTTCTCTTATTTATTTTCTTTTTTCATATTGCCATTTACTACATATGTAGAGTAATTGGCCAGGGTTAAATGTAATTGGCAGAAATGCCCTACAAACAGAATTGCAATAAAGAATAACAAGAGAAAGAACATGGTAAAAATAATGGACAAAATATATGCAAAGCAAAGAAAGGCAAAAAGTTCACAAATTAAGAATTGGTTTTAATACATAAAAGGGATACAGACACGTAATCACAACATTCTAACTTCAAGAAAGAACAGAACTAAGTCAGATGAGACCAAGAAGCAGCCTATCTTATTGGCTAAGAAAAATCCAATATGTCTGTTTTTAAAGCATTGATTAAATTGTGTAGCTCCAATAAGATCGTGTTTTTTTATTTCAAATTGTTAACTTCTAAAACTTTTATGTAAATCTTCTGTGAAAATGTTTTATAGATCTCATTCCAGAAAATAAGTACAAATGAAAATTTAAATAAAAGTATTTATTTAAAATGAAAACAAAAAAAAACGTTTACTGTAACGGAATAGATCTAAATATTTATCGGATTTAAAATCAGATAAAAAATATAGACTCGGGATTCTTTGAAACTTAAGCTTAACATCTTAACACCCCCAACCTTTAATTTCTGATTTAGTCACACACACACACACGCACATATATATATATATATATACATACACACTCCCATTGGTTTTGACAAATCAGAGTCCAGCAGCTCTGTTCTTAGAACCAAACAGACTATCCGTACATATGAAAATGATTATATTGGTGAAGGTTTGTGCAGAAGAAACCACACTTTTTCAAAGAACTGAATACAGAACTCTTGCATAGTCTGCCACAAAGTCTCCAAATGCTCCACCTCAGGTTTGAATTCAGATTTGTTTTTCCAGACTGGTTGCCAACCAAGACTATAGGGTTCAATCTGTTCCACTATTTGACCATAACTGGGAGAAGAGATGAATTCATACCTTTCCCAAAGTGAATGTCCCCAATTCAACTGGAATTTGAACTCTGCTTTCCAATTCATCATTTTATATATATATATATATATATATATATATATATATATATATATATATATATATAATTTTGAACAATAAAAATATCAAAAAATAGAATTTTCAGACACACCAGGTTGTATATTAATATATTTTGTTTTATTATTTCAATTAGGTTTCTTGACTAGTTTCAGCCAGCATGGCCATCATCAGGAGAAAAAAAAAATTCCCTGCTAGTTAGTGGCAGTAAACTACAGGAGTGAATGACTGTTTCTGATGAAAGTGAACTTTATCTGTAGTTCATTTTTTTTTTTTTTTTTTTTGTAAATTTTGGTCCGTCCTTGTGTTGCTTAAATAGACTCTTTCAAGTTGTTTTTAAGATAGAAGATTGGAGATTTCTGACTTTCAGAATTCACTCCTTGCTCATTTTGACAGTTTTATTGGTTGCTGGGAATGGGATGTTGAGTGTATTTTATCTTTTAGTTCTTTGGGAGTGTGCATGATATGTGTGTGTGTATAAGTGTGAGATATTGACACCTCTGCAAGCATGTCAGTCTTATGTGAGTGAGAAATGGGGGTAGAGCTTGATTTATAGGGTTATATATATATATATATATATATATATATATATATATATAAATAAACTGATATGTCCGAGAAAGGGATATATTTGTTCGAAGTAGTAAAGTGGTTGTTGACTACTGTAACCGGGTAGGACAATCTAGCAGGTAACCGTAATGGACTGGTCCTCGTCGTAGTGGTAGACAATAGGCGAAGGCAATAGGCATCCTCCCTGTACCTCCACATCAGTCTGTATTTGGCTCCAGCCAAACATAATACTGTGAGGGGGATCCCAGGTGTATGCATATTCATTCCGTCAAATATATATATATATTTAATCATGTATCTATCCCAAGTTGAGACAGCATTTGTTTTTGTTTTCCTTTTCTTCTTTCTTTCTCTTTTCCATATTTTTCCATTCTGTCACTTCACCTTCACTTAGTCTTTCTTGATCTGATTGATTTTTTTTTTTTGACTGTCATCTTCCAGTTGCATGTAGCAGCAGCCAATGGCTACTTGGAGGTGGGAAAGTTTCTTTTGGATCACAAAGTTCCTGTAAATATTAGAGATGATGATTCTTGGGAACCAATCCATGCAGCTGCTTGTTGGCAACAGGTCAGTATAATTTATGACAAAGTGGGAAAAAGTTTTTGTGTGATGTGTTTAATCATTTAGGACTTCATCTTACTAAATTCATTATGTTGGTGCTACTATACAAGGGCATAAACACAGGATTCTGGAAATTTTAAATTTAAATTTTTTTGTAGTTATGTAATCTAGACAATTTCATTTACCATATATACTTGTGTATCATGAGACACTTGAAGACCTAATTTTGAAGCTCAATTTGACTACAGTAAATAGATATATGGTTTGGTCAATGGTGTAGCCAGGGCTAACAGTACATATGCTAATTTTATATTTCCTGTATGATGCTTCCCCACTAAAATTAGCTTCAAAATTAGGTCTTCAAAAGTCGCATGATACACGAGTATATACATCAGATTCTTTTTCTTTTTGTTTCCATCACTTTTCTTATCAGATATCCCACATTGTGATAATTGAAGTTCTGCCTAGAATAGTGAAATTTTCTAAGAGCCAGAGTGCAAAATGTCATCGGTCTCATTACGTTGAGAAACTAATATATTTAATGTATTGTTTTGTAAAATGTCCCTTTTGTGTTCATAAAAACTTTTATTTAGATTCCTTGAGTCTTCTTTGTAAAAATTATTACAGACAATGGAGTAAATTTCTCCTTCAAGTTTTAGCTTATTATTTTGTTTAGTAGTGACTAAGTCACTACTGCATCTGAAATGATAAACGCCCACTTCTGAAGCCACACACTTTATCCAGTGTTGTTTACATTGATGGAAGCATTCCTGGAACTCCTGTTTTTGTGATAGTGAGAAGTTGTTTTATCACATTCACTTGGATTTCCTCAACATATTGAAATCTTGTTCCTTTCATGTGGGATCTGATTTTTGAAGAGGAAAAAGCCACAAGGGACAAGATCATGGGAATATGGTGATTGTCAGACCTGGGGAATGTTGTATTTTGCCAAAAACTGCTGCACAAACCATGGTCACTGATGGAACCTCTGGTGAAGTGAGAAAACCACACTCTACACACTTTCCTTCCAACAACTGCTGTAAATGATGAAAGGCTTCAAAAACATATCTTGGTCTGTATGTATAACAGAGTTCAAGGTTAATCTGTATCAAGTGGCTTCACTCTATACTTTAGTTCCATTACCATAGCAACAATGATTATACTTTTTGATCAGACCTCATGTCTGTCTGTCTGTGTGTGTGTGTGTGTGTGTGTGTGTGTGTGTATATATATTATAATTTTATCATATAGACAAAACCATTTTACTCACTACAAAATGCAACTTGGTTTCAGTGTATTTCGACTGCATGAATTTAAGCATACTACTAAATTGGCTACTAGATCACACGATTTTACTGTTGAAATAGATATTACCATAAGTTCTATTCTAATAATTTCTTGTCTCACACTTCTCACCTGTGGAAGTCTTTTCTAGTTTCTTGCTTCCCTGCCACTTATGATTTTCAAAAATTTAAATGTAACACCATCTCCTGTCTTTCTGAATCCTGTTTTTATATTGTCCTTTTTCCTCACTAGCATCTTCTCATTTCTTTTCACTCTTAGTAACTCATTATTGCCTTGCTTGGGGTGAAACAATTAAAAAAAAAATCCATTATGGTGAGATTTGAGCCTTTCTCTCATAGTCAGAACATTAAATCAGCCATGTGCCCATGCTCATGGCATAAAAATTTTTATATTCATTAATTTTACTAATAATTGCAAAACAGAAAGCAGAGTAATATTTTTCTCTTTGTTTTTCCTGATTAAGTGGATGAAAAGATGGCTTGGAGGTAACTGGCTGGGTCACCTGAATGATGTGCGATCTGATGTCATTAGAGACCCCAAAAACCCAAATGACACCAGGAATAAACATCACTGATGAAACTTCCTGGCACACCACAGGTGTGCTTGGATTATGGTTCCATTTTTTTTAATTTAGTCTTGACAATTTTTCCAAAATTTTATAGCTCAAGTTATCAAAAAAATTTACATTTTTATTCGCTGATTATTGTGAAACATATTGGTACATTTTTAAGTCCTTCAATATAATCTTATTAAAATCATCTTATTTAAATTAAATATTATTTATCATTATTATATCAACTAATTATTGTAAAATATTGTATGTTTTTTTTTTTTTAATATTTTTCAACATATATAAATTAAATATCATTATTTTAGTTAGGTCAAGCTTAAGTTTGCTACTGGTAACATGTAACCCCATACAACTTGCCACATGGATGGATGGTTGGAACTTAAATCAGCTCTCCTACTAGCTTTTTTGCTGGTGAGGAGGATAGCATGTCATCCTGCATTGAAAAACAAGGTCAGTGTGTGTGTATATATATATATATATATATATATATATATATATAAATACTTTCTGTAGTTTACTGCTACCAGCAAGCAGAAATATTTCTTCTCCCGATGATAGCCATTTTGGCTGAAACTAGTTGAGGAATCTAAATGAAATAATAATAAAAAAATGAGAGAATATTAATCTACAACCCAGTGTGTCTGAAGATTTTAATTTTTAATATCTTTTATTGTTCAAAAAATATATATATATATATATATATATATATATATATATAGTAATCAAGAAGAAAACCTTAAAGATTCATTTTGGTTATAATTTATTTTGTGAATATCTATATATTCATCTCTTTAGACAGAAATCTTTTAGTAAATGGAGACAATTCCTTCGGACTGATGTATTAGATTGACAGGGGGAAGAGAAAACAAGAGAGAAGGGAGGGGGAGGATGAAGAAAAGTGATGGATGGTCAAAGTTCTTTTAAAAAGTGAGACAGAGAGAGGGAAAGGGAAGAAGGAAGAGATGAATGGGTTGTAGAATGCCTAAAATAAACAGACCAGCCAAGAATTCACAAAATAAATTATAACTGAAATGAATCTTTAAGTTTTTCTTCTTGATTATTATTATTATGATGCTCTGTAGTTTACATTGAGCTCTCCCTGGCTTAATATCCTCCTTGGAATTATCCCTACCAGTCACAAATTGGTAATATATATATATATATATATATATATATATATAAATGGTGGTACTTGTTTGTAAAAATCTCAGATAGCTCAACTTGCAGTAGAAAAAATCAATAACAAAGGAAAAATGAGAAATAAAAAAAGAAAGAACCCAGAACATTAAAACAAGGCCAAAACTATTGTTGAGTGTTTAAGCTCCAAGTCCAAAGAAGAAAAAAAAAACCAAAAAGAGTAAAAATACAATGATGTAAAGTACTCAATACACTAAATAGACCGATAACCTAAAATAATCCTAAGAAGCCAGGCAAACTTACCTAGGTTTCACCTAAACAGTTTTCAGGGTAAAGCCAGCTTTACTCTGAAGATCCGTTTAGGTGAAACCTAGGTAGGTTTGCCTAGCTCTTTAGGTTTATATATATATATATATATATATATATATATATACCTAGGCTGGGGTCTCAAGCCTTGAATGACAACCTTCATAAAGATGGTGGCTTGATAAAAAAAACACTCTGTTTGCTTGGACTACTTTGAATGTTTAAGTTGGATGGCAGGAAGAGAACGTGGCCTTGTCTCAAATCATTATAAGTGATCCTCTGTCAGGCAGGACACACCTTGCTTTGTGTGAGAATTATCTTGCTCCTGCCTCAACAAAAAAAATGTGGCTATGTATTATATAAAATTGAGACATTTTTTTTAAAATCCTTTCATCCCAAGCAAAGCAATAAAGCCACTAAGATGCAAGGAGTTAATGAGTGTGAGAGAATATAAGAAGAAAAATATTATTAAGGAGAGAGAACAATAAATGAACAGGAATTAAGAAGACAGAAGATAATGATTGACATTGCATTTAGACTTTTGATCAAACTTGACTGGAAAGCAAGAAGCTGGAAGATAGTTCCACAAGCGAGAAGTGTGACAGAAGAAAGTGTTAGCAAAGAACTTACAGTTATATCTTGCCATTTCAACTATAGGATGATGAGATATTGCTGCTAATCTAGTATTTTGCTTAAGTTCGTAATTTACCATAGAGTTACCATAGAGGAAAGTAATATTTGTTTTTGCAAAGACAGAAAAATGTGGCATAAGGCCAAAAGGGGATATGAGGAAGGCTCTTCTTCTTCTGTCTTATAATTAACCCTAGCTAGCCACCATTACTAACCCAAATGTACCACAGTATTCCTTACACTAAAACAACACATTTTTACTTACCATTCACACTACATCCACCATAATACCTCAAAGTTTCTATAAAGTCCTAAATAGTCCCTATATGTACAATTGTCTGAAGGGGGGAATAAAAAACAAGAGAAAAGTTCATCTGAACAATTAGCATGAATGTATTTATAGAAACGTCACAATATGGTGATGGGAAAATGACTGAAGCTTTGACGCCAGGTCAGGACTAATAACATTGCAGTTTCTTTTTTGGATTTTATCAAGGATCTATAAATATACAGCAGAAGCACCAGACTAGATGTGGCAGTGATATTCAAGGTATGGATGAATTGTAGACTTATAAATATGTAAGATAGATTCTGGCAAGAAAAATTATCCAGCATGACACTGTGAACCAACTTTCCTAGCAGCGGACTAGCAACTGGGACATATACATTAATAATTGATTTGGCTTCATGTAAGAAACTCACAAAACTTCACTGTTACTTTCAGGCATACAAGCAAAAGATAAGTTCAAAGAAATACTAGTCAAAGATGAAAATGGGCGTAAATTGACAAAACAATTATGAAAATTTATCAATGTGAGCCTTTTTTTTTTCTTTTTTCTTTCTGCAGTCTTTGATGTTAGATCTCCTTGTGCAACATGGAGCAGATATTGACTCCAAAACAAAAATGCATGATACTCCTTTTGGTAAGTGTCTTGTAACATCTTTTTGATTTTAAATTGAGTTTTCTGATGGATCAATGATTCTTTTTCCTCCTTTCTCTGTTTTTAATTAAATTTCATTCTTAATCTTTGAAAAGCTGAATAGATTTTATATTTATAATCATTAGAGATTTGTCTTTGATTTTCCCCCAGTGCAAGTTGATTCTGATATTAATCTGAATGTTTAGAAATACCTACATATTAACAGTTTATCCTTATCAGTATTATTCCTACAATTTGTTTATATACCAATTAGTAGATATACCATTAGTCTGTTTCTATATATAAGCAAATTTGTTGCTGTGCCACATGCAGCCATGAAATGAATATTCCTAAATTGCATATTTACAAATAGTTTGAAATTGTGAAAAAAGCCATTATTCCACAAACAATAATGAAACAAGAAGCTACTTTCCCTAATGCAGTGAGTTTGATCCTCACTGGGTGCCCCATTCTTTTAGTTTTGTACTATACCAAACTCAGTAAATAACTATTTGGGAGCTAGGTAGACAGGATAATTGTGTGTATATTTTTAGCAGCAGTGGTCAGTGTTCAAACTCGGGTAAAAGCTAATGTTATGAATTTTCATGGCCAATTGGTTTTTCTCAATTTGGCACTTGAACGTAATCTTCCTTTCACTATTTGACCTTATGACCTTACATAAACTTACATAACCACAAAGTTAAGCAATGTTGATCCTGGTCAGTACCTTAGATGGGTGACCGATTGAGGATACCAGATGCTGTAAGCTTTGATGTGTGAATGAATAATGGCTCAGAATTGTTAATCAGAGTGGGGAGTTCCAATTCCAGTTGGGTTCGTTGTATTCACTTACGCACAAATACCCTTGAGAAAGGTATGAATCCACCTTTTCTCCCCCAGCTGTGGGTTAATTAGTAAGACTCTTATCACTAAATCATTATTTTAAAAAAAATTCTTACAGTGTAAAAATATTTTCCATCTTTAAATAACATGTTAAAGGTTGATAAACTCTAAAAAACAAATTAGTCAATCAAAAAACATTAGTTTGTTGACTCCAGAGTTTTAAAAATTTTATTTCATGTTTTTTTGTTGATTACCTCAATAGTAATAAATACTCTGATTCTTGACAAAAAAGGGCTTTCATGGATTCAGATTTTGATTGATTGGAGGTGCTAACCTGTATATATTTTGTCTTTGTGAATTAAGATGGGCTACAATAAATATCCCAGTCAGTACCAGAGATTTGCTCATCAATTGCTTCCCCATAACCAATTGGTTATGTCACCTAGGGGTTGACATGCTGTGTATATCTGTTCATGAGTGGGTGTCAAGATGGTTATCTTATTAACCTTTAGCACTCTGTAGGTGATTGTTTTCACCAAGCAAAATGTTAGTCCTACCAAGTTGAATTTCTTGGTTGTGTAGTCATATCCTTCCATGGTAACACCTAAAATAATCTTGACTGAAATTGAGAGCCAGGCTACTGCAATTTCAAATATATAGAACTAATATATAAAACACTATTTTTTTTCAGGGTATTCCATATACAGTAAAAGGGGATGTAATATTTATAAATGTTAAATTTGTAGGATGAAGCTGTCGAGTTGACTTGGGGGTAACATTTAGATACAAGGGAAGATCCTTAATCAGAGACTGAAGTTACACAGTGTCAAGATTTTTCTTAATGAGTACCACTTGCAAGGTCAAGTACTGTTGTTATCTCAACCTATCACTATGTCATGTCCATTTGGCTGTGCTGCATGTATCTGGTATACACTTAGACTAGGTGTTATAATGGGTATATTAGGATTTGTATATTTCTACCCAGTGGAACTTTTTGACATGCTGTTTTCTCTTCCTGTCACCCATTGGCCACACCAACCTGCTGCCCTGTGTATGAATGCAACCTGTGCTGTCACCTCAAGTGTAAATTTAGCCCACACCAACCTGTTGACCCATGTACGAACCCAATACATGAATTCGAGTATATAAAAAAAAACAATGGCAAACTTAAAAATTAAAAAATCCAACAAGATTTGATGTCATAAAATCCTTCAACCAAATTCTGTCTTTGACATCTGGTAGAATATTTTTTTTTTAATTTTGAAGTTGAAATTTTGTCACTTTATTAGGTCTTTCTCCTGCAGAACATTGGTGAAACTTAAGAACTTTGTGAACCAGAGTCTGCTGTCTATTATTCATTTCTAAATGAGAAATCAAACAGAACATAGATGCTGATTCTTTCAATTTCCTTATTTTCTAATATTGTTTTGTTGAAATTTTGACAGTCTGAACAATTTACATTGCTACTACTTACCAAGTTGATAACGAAGATTAATGACTAATTTCCAGTTAGAGTAATGACAGCATTGTATGTTATAGCTGTAAAAAATTTGTAAAACCTCAAAAATATTATAGAAGAATTTTAATAATGATCATTTTCATAGAAGATAAAAGATGTCTGTAGCGTATTTATGAAATCCTCAGAGAATCATAAATGTGAGGCCACACACATATACCAACTTCTGTTTACAGGGTGGGGCTGAGTAGTTGTAGTAATTCCATATATTATATCATGGTTGGACTTGTGAATGAGAATAGTGTTCAAAATTTAAAGACTTTTTTCATTATCTCTGAAACTTAATAACTTGAATTTGAATGTAAATAGATGGCGAGACAACAACTATGTATTTAAACAGATAAATGGGGGGGAAGCTTTAGGAATATCATTTTATGAAATAGAAAAAATACATTTCCTGATTTTTTTTTTTTTTTTTTTGATTTTTTTTTTAACATTTTTCCTTTCAGTTTTCTTTTTTATTTACTTCTTCTCTCCCCACTCTTTTTCTCTCTTTCTCCCCCCCTCTTTTTCTCTCTTTCTCCCCACTCTTTTTCTCTCTTTCTTTTTTCTCTCTTTCTCCCCCACTCTTTTTCTCTCTTTCTCCCCCACTCTTTTTCTCTCTTTCTCCCCCACTCTTTTTCTCTCTTTCTCCCCCACTCTGTTTCTCTCTTTCTCCCCCACTCTGTTTCTCTCTTTCTCTCCCCACTCTGTTTCTCTCTTTCTCCCCACTCTGTTTCTCTCTTTCTCTCTCACTCTGTTTCACTCTTTCTCCCCACTCTGTTTCTCTCTTTCTCCCCCACTCTGTTTCTCTCTCTTCCCCCCTTTCTCCCCTCTCTCTTCCCCAGTTTCTCTCTCCCCCCATTGTTTTCTCTCTCTCTTTTATTTTTTCTCTCTCCCCTCTCTCCTCTCTTCCCCTCTTATTTTCTCTCTCTCTCTCTCTTTTCTTCTATCTCCCCATTCTCTTTTCTTTCTTTTTCTACTTTTCTCTCTCTCTCCTCTTCTCTCTCTCTCTCTCTCATTGTTTCACTTTTCTTTTTAATTTTTTTTTGCTGCTGACATTTACTTATTTTTAATATTTTTCTTTTCACTTTTTATATTTTCCTTTTATTTTGACTTTTTCTTCACGTTTTTCATTTTCTTTCAAGATATTTGTGAAGACCCTGATATAAAGCAAAAAATTCTGGACATGAAGGATGAATTAGAAAATAAAAAGAAAAAATCCTCTGGATCTGTCCGTAAGAACAATAGACCGAACAACCGCAGGTAGGTGTTCTCCTTCACTTCCTCTTTCTGTGTTTTCTCTTTAGAAGAATAACTTTTCAAAGAATCTCTGTTATTGTAGATTTTGTCTTTCCTTCCTGAGATTCCATGTGATTTACTCTTGTGGGAAATTTGAGGAAAATTGTTTTTAATATTTGGTGATTTTTCATTTCCTGGTTTAAGGAATTGTTCCAAAACATTTATATTTAATGGTTCAAGTAGGAATCTCAAAACAATTTTGTGTAGCAGCTATCATTTGCAGAATTAAGATTTTGTAAAAAAAATTGGTGGGGGGAATTTTTTTAGTTGTTTTTTCAGCTGATCTCTCTTTTAAAATTGGCCATTAATTTAAGTTGCTACGAAATTTTTTCGAACAAAGTATTTTTGTCACTATAGCTATTTTGCCTGAATAGATTCTTTATTTTGTTTAATATTACGAGAATTACAAAAATAGCAAAAAAATTTTTTTTTTGTAAAAATTCTGAATTTCTGAGATGAGGCATTATCATTAGTTACATTCAGACTATTGTCTTCATCTTTGTCATTATCACAGTGTTTCAGATGGTATTCCCACTGGATTTCTTCAGGTGTCTAAAGGTTATCTTGATTGATACACTAGCCAAAAAAGATGATAATTTTATTTTATTTATATTTTTAATTACTCTTTAGCACTCTGCATTATTAATATTACTTCTCTTTCTACTGCATTATTTTTCAAGGCCATGCAAATGCAATATCCTTATTTTTAATTTCACTCAAAATTGTTTTCTGTTGCCATAGTGGGATATGACAACACAACTATGAAATTCAAATACAGTATTGTTCAAGATCAGTCACCTTCAGTGGTAGGATAAACTTTTTGTACAGCAAATAAAGTTACAGAGTAAAGTTTAATGTTAGCCTAATACAAGGCTCAAGAGCTACTCAAGATACCGTTTTTTTTTTATCATTTCATTCCAAACAAGGCAATAAAAACACTAAGATGCTAGGGGTTGCTGAGTGTGAAAGAATATGAACAAAATAAAAACATTATTAAAGAGAGTAAACAATAATAAAATAACAGGAATTAGGAAGACAGAAGATAACAATTGACATTGCATTTCATTATTGAAAATCAAAGCTGACTAGAAAGAAAGACACCACAAAACAGTGCAAGAGAAGAAAATTTTAGCATAAAACTTAGGTTTACATCTAGAAGTGTCAGCAATGTTATTGGTCCTGACCTGGCATCTCGACTTAAGTCATTTTTCCACTACAGTGATGTGGGGTACCCTCTAAATTTTTCTATAAATATTTTCATGGCATTTGTACAAATGATCTCTCCTCTTTGGTACCCCAACCACATGAATTTAAGCATTTGGTAATTAGGTCTCATCATTTTACAGTTGAAAAAACCAGATGTAACCATAAGTTCTATTTTACTAGTTTTTTTCTTACACTTCTTGCCTTCATGGAATATCAATTGCCATCTTTTATGTTCTTGAAACCTGTTCTTTTATTGTCCTTTTTTTCCTAACTAAAGGAGTCAACTGTAGTCAGGATCATTCAGTCAATGCAAACGATCATTTCCTTAGCTGCATCATATATACTTTACTAGGGCTACATACAGTTTTGGATTCAGAATTTTCCTTCTCTTAGACCAGTCACTACCCAAAGCTATAGAACCCAGTCTGTCCTACTATTTATCCATAGCTGGGGGGGGAGAAGAGTTGGATTCATACCCTTTTTCAAGGGTATTAATATATAAATGAATGTAATGAACTAGACTGGAATTCAAACTCTGCTGTCCAATTCCTCAATCCAGGCCACAATCCATTACTCTCTTGTGCCTGTCTCTCCATGAGAGGGCAACAGGCCATGAAAGGTGTCTCCTTCCGCTGCCTAGCTATGCCTGATCAATATGGCACTTTTTGTCTTTGTCTTGGCATACTTTATTTTCTTTTTTTTTTTCTTTGTCTTCTAACTAAAGTCTTCTTATGTCTTTCACTCTAAGTAACTCTTGGCATCTTAGAGGCATTATTACTTTGCTTGGGGTAAAATTATTAAAAAGAAAACTAGAAGAAAAGAATAAAAAGTTATTCTTTGAGATTTGCTTAAAATTTTGGAGGTCATTTAGTCATGTTAGTAGGATGTCTAACAGCTCAATGGCATGAAAAACTGGCTTGCAACATTCAGTCCTTTCCAAACCAAACCTAGTAACATTATATCACCACCAAGAAAACCTTGATCTTTCACCAAGCATGTTAAGTGGCAGTATTCTCAATAAGTTTCTTTACTTTGAGTGCTTACTGTGACTCCCAGACCTCAAGCCAAACTCATATATATGACTGATCACTAGATATACTGGAAGTGAGTACCTGACTCTTCTTGCTATGCTCTCTTTACAAGAACCAGATCAAACCAAAAACGGTATCTGTATTGGAATAACCTAGTCATCACTTTCCAGCTTTGATAGAGGTCAAAAGTGCCTATATAACCTTGTGGGAGATTATCTTCCACTCTACAACCTGTTTCCCCACAGATAAAAACATTACATGCCTCTAGCTACTCTGTCCATGGCAAATGTCCTGACAAGCTACATTCCTTAGTTTCACCAGTTTTGACCTTCATTGGGTTTGAATCATCCTTATTCACTTCATATTTCATTAATAAGAAGGTAGTTCTATGCTGACAGCTTCTTCCCAAGAACTGCTACTCTGTGGAACAGACTCCAGAGAGGATTTTTTTTCCTGATCGCTACAATCTTACTTCGCTACTTACCCATTTCCTTTCCAACATATCTCATAAATTGTACTTAACTCTTTCTTGTACAACAGCCACATTTACTAACCCTCTAACTTTATTTTTTTAAGCATTTCACCCCAAGCAACACTAGAAATCTAGAGCCTGTCAACCATTTTGAATATCATCTTTATTTCCGGTGCTCCAAAATTAGCTAAGATTAGTTTTGCTTTTTAAGTGTTCATGTTGTACCGTCCTGGGTATGATGATAAACTATATCCATATCCTGGGTAAGATGATAAACTACATCCAGCAGCAAGTCCTCTGATCAGGAGGTTTTGAGGAATGTGGAACCACCTCTTAATTGCTGGTGTTCCCAGCTCAAACCTGACCTGGGGTGGTAGCACCTGTTAGGGTCCTAGTGATGGGCAAATAGTTAACACCCAAACTTGTGTAAAAATAAGTTTTAATACCAGAAATACTTTGTAATAAAAAAAATTATTATCAGCAATGCTTTAAAAAATACCAGCAATACAAACAGCAATACATTCTTTGGAAAAAATATGACCAGCAATAAAAATTTTGTCAGCATTAAATTACCCATTGAGGTTGATATGCCATAAAGCAAACTAAACCAAACTTTCATGTTGTAAACGAATGTAATTAATTTTTTCCAGTGTAATTAATTTTTTCCTTTAACCTGGTTTTCTTTGTCCTTCACTTTTGATATCGAACCAGAAAACCAAGCCAGATCTTTCCTTTTGTTTTTAAACATTTCACCTCAAGCCAAGTGGGTACAGAGAGTGAAGGTGTTTGAGGAAAGGATAAAGAGAAGGACAGAGATCAAGATCAAGACATCAGATGTCGATTGACATTACATTTAAATTTTTGAAGCTTATAGTTATCAGGGAAGAAAGTAAGAAGAGTTTTACTGTCAGTAAGTGTGAGAGAAAATGCTTTTGGAATAGAAGGGATGGTGACATTTAACTGTTTCAACAGTAAAAGGGTGGGACTGAGATGCCAACCTAGTAGCACGCTTAAATTCATGCAGTTGGGGCAGCTGTGTAAATAGCTCGCCGGAGCAGTTGCCATGAAAATATTTATAGAAAAGACAGAGGGAAGCCACATTGTGTCTGTGATAGTGACTGTAGATGAGATGCTAGATCAGGACATATCACATTCCATATCCGTCTTTGGATTTTGTTGAGGACCTCGAGATGAACAGTGGGGGCACCAGACAATATATGGCAACAGTATTCAATGCAAGGACGGATGATAGATTTGAAGGATGATCTTGGACGAGAAAAACCTCCTGGTATGACACAGAGAACCTTCCTTGCAGTAGATGAAGCTATTGATTGAATGTAGTTGTTCCACCTCAGGTCAGTGGAAAATTTGAGACCAAGAAGGCACAGAGAGACACTCTCGTGGAATTATGCATCAGCCTTTCTGATGCTGAAGTGATTCTTAGTCTTTTATTGGGCAAAAAATTAGTAAAACAAAACTTCTAGGTAACTTAATGTTACTGACATGAAAAGTGGAATTATTGAACCGAGTTTAAATTTATGCCTATTCAGATGCATTTGCTTTTGCACAAATGTTTTTTTTTTAGGAAAGCCATGAATCCATTACTTTTAACTCCATCATACCAATGTCCAGAAGGGACTGGGTCATGACATTTAAAAAGGAATTTCAATCCTTTAATCAGGGAATTAGAAACATTTTCTTGCTTCTAACCCCATAACTTCCAGTCTACCTCCCTGGACTGTCCCACTCACACATGAAGACATGTCTTTAGATCCACACACGCAGTAATTTTCCAGGGTGCCTCTGAAGCTGGGCTGATAACACTTTCTCTGTATCACCTTTCTTTAGACATAAAAAATATCTATAAAAGTTAAAAGAAAAAAGTTTTTAACAAATTCCCAACTTTTTCTTGATGCCTCCCACCCCTTGGCTCCCAAGGCCACACCCCTAGCACTCACCACCCACACCTACATGAAGATAATTCTTGTTATTGTAAATTCAAAACAACTAATCTGATGCTGTAAACACATT